AATATATTATGATATATAGTATAATATATATAATGTAATATATGATTCAATACAATGCAATAGAAAGTAATAGAAAAGAACAGAATAGAATAGAAAGACAAAACCAACAAAAACACTCTCCAAAAAAAAACATGCTAGGATTACTCTTAACAAGCATGTTTGAAATCTGTTATCGATATGGCGAACCGAGTTCTTCATTGGCAATTGTTAATGTGCGCTGTGTATAACCTGTTCAATGCAGTGTAGGGAGTAAAGTAGAGAGGCTTTAATGCTACAGTTACCGTTTCCTGCAGACTAGATCCACAGGCTTAACGGACGATCTGCGAGTGACTTGCAGTTTGAATAATACGAGTAACTGATGCATCATGGTGAAATCAGGCGTTCGTCAAAGAAATGAAATCAAAGAATTCGACATTTTTCTGGCCGTGAGGCAATTTTTTAAAGGTTTTCTTTTGTTTTAGATCAGCACCTTATATATCCATTTAAAAACAAATTTTACTATTAAATGTTGATTAAAGATACACACAAAAAATGTAAATTTAGAGTTTCCATGGATACCCAAATTTTGGAAGTCACCAACTGTGGCAGCCATTTTCTCGCTATTTTTACCTCTGACAGTAAGGAACCCTGTTGTTGATTTTTCTTGGAGTTAATATTGTTATTACTAGTTTGTCTTTATATTTGTTATAGTATCTTTTGTTCATGTGTTCATTTATATTTCATTTACAAATATCATTTTAAATTTTCTATGGCCAATAGTTAAATTAGGTTTTTTTTCTCCCTTTCCCAATTGGTTTTCCATGTGTAAAGGTGTACAGGTACGGCCAACCGAAACTGTTATACTGTACTCAACTATAAGACATGAAGATAATGTTGTCATTACAGTTCTTACTTGCTTTTAGTTACTTCTTAGACAGGTCATTCTAGGGGGTCAAAATGTCTTTGTGTTTCTCATATGACCATAATATTATGTTGTTGACAAAGCCGTAACAACCAACATTTATGTCATCTTCTAGCTCTGAGTGTTCCCAACCACGTGACCAAACTAGACCTGTGTCGGGAGTGGCGGCCAGTCCGCAGACCCAGGAACTCGACAGAAGGAGGAGGGACTCTCGTGGTCAACTACTGCTCTCGACGCGGAGAAGGAGGGGGAGCAGCAGCAGCAGCAGCAGCAGCGGCAGGAGGAGGAGCAGCAGGAGAACAAGAGGAGGAGTATGTACCAGACACCAAAGTTTGTCTAAAAGCTGGTGACGAGGGCCCCAACTGTAAACTTGTCCGAGCGGTGAGTCATCTTTATACGTTATTCAGTAGCGCATGATGCCAGCAGAAAAGCAAGCAGGCATGGAATTAATCAGCAAGCATCTTAGTTCTCTCAGGATGTATCGAACACATCGCTGCCTTAGAATTGCAAGGTTCTGTCTAACATTTTTGGCCGTTTTTAATTACTAGGGCCATATGAAGTCAGAAACCAAGTGTTCTCTCCGACGTATGAAATCGTAAGATTATTTGGAGTCGTTTCCAAGACGTTCAAAGAAACGCATTTGAAAAAGCTCGACGTGTTTTGAAACTGAAACATTTTTACGTTAAATTTATCAGAACTGAGCTTTGCAATTCGAAGATAGCGCGTTGATATTTTTTTTAAATATCTTCTTGTGTGGCCTCTGTTAGTTTTACACAACATAGGGCTACCATGGTAAGTTGTATCATTGCCTCAATGGTAACATGTCAGTGCTACAGTGTGAATATAATAAAACATAATATAATGTAATATATATACATGTATATATTATATATGTAAAGTACACACTATTCAGAAGTAACTTTATGAAACGTACATTTTTTTGGTTCCAATTTTGAGCATGTAGTCAGCATTCCCCTACTTCGATGCAGTGGAAGTTCTTTAAAAATGGTCTTTCAGGTGGCAAAATCAAGGGACATAACAGTGTAAAATCATTTTATTTTGCCTTTCTTAAAATACTTCTTTCCCTTGAAAAGGCAAATGAAACCATGACGGTGAATGGATTATAATTATAGTCACTGTTGACAGGCGGAGTGACCATTAACTCCTTGAAATGCTCATTGTGGTCTATGAGTAACACTTGAAGGCGCACCGTTCTCAGGCACTTAAAAAAAGGAAGGAATACGATCATCCTTTTATATTTAACAAGACACAATACTACAACACTATATTGTGCAACATGCCAGTTCACGTTTTTTATTTGCGTAGCATAGTTCAAAATATTAGTATGCCACATGGCCTTTGGTCTGCTGTTGGACAGATGTGTCCGCAGCGTACTTAAAGGCTTAATAAGTAATAGTAATTTGTTCTGCTCATTTTGCATATCCATATCTATTGAAGACAAATTGAAAACCTTCTGCAAGAGTAAACGGGGATACACAATAAAAACAAATGTAAAGAGCAAGAGCAGTTTTTAATGGTGTCTACACCTTGGAACAATGAACCATATTACGTGCAATGTGCCTTTGTATGCGTAAGCACTGTGTACATCTGAGCCAAGTAAACCAAGTTACTCTTTCACTCTTTTAGTACTCAAGTCGGTATCAACCTTAAACCGATGCACACATGCACAACAGCGCTATTTCTTTCTTTCTGCCAGCCTGAATGCAGTGCACACTTTAAAGACATTCCAAGTTCCAAATACCGAATAACCGTGAGTTCACGATTTTTAATGTGTGTGTATGCGGAATTGAGTGTTTTGTTGTCATTGTTGGGGGTGATGGTGACTTTGTTTTAGTGTGTGTGTGTGTGTGTGTGTGTGTGTGTGTGTGTGTGTGTGTGTGTGTG